GAGGATCCATCTAAGGTATTTTTCTTTATTATATTTGGAATGCGTTTGAGAACTTATTTTCTGCAGATTTTTTTGGTACTATGCAGTATGAAATATCTTTACCCATCATTTTTAATTGTCTTGTTATTTTTGATTTTCCTGCTAAATATTGCCTCTACATATTAATTAAGCTGGCTTCAGTAACACCAACGAGCAAGACACGTTACACAGTTGATAAGGTAGCATTGTTGTACTAGAGAAATTTAATAATTGATTGGGAGTGAGCATTGCCTTGCCTTTGGGTTGAGAAGTTAATTTACCTCTAGTTACTCTAATTCGTCCTTAGTTGTCTTGAAAACAGTGTGAACGATCCCCAAATTAAATGACCATACCTGATTCTTGGCAAATAAAGTCGTAGAATAACTTAGTCCAACCACAAGAAGGGAAATAAATAAAAGGACTCCTGTTGGAGACATGTTCCTAAACGTGACTGCTGTGGTATGAGAAGTTATACAAGGAACTTAGTTTGTTTTATTTGCTCTGCTTCATGTTCAAATTGTCGTATATTACATTGTGGACACAATGGTATTGAAAAAGCTGCTGATGTATGTTACATGGCTTAATGCTTAGAAGGCTGTACCTAAGTCTAACGTTGCAACCTTTGTGGGGTTTGATATTTTGTTCTGATGAAATCTATATTTGGCTATTTGTATTATTTTACGATGATAGATATTGTGGAGATGAAGTAATTCCAATGAAGTCGAGAGAGGTTTTTTGCTTTATAATATTACATCATTGAGATTGTCTATGCACAATAATCTTAAGCTAGGTACTTGTTTGATCTATCTGTACCATTGGGAATTATTTTAGGCTTTAAATGTCTGTGCATATATGTTGGCTGAACTCGACCATTGTATTTGCTGATATTAGCTTCGACCAAAAGTTGGTCCTTGTCTCATGGCATGTTTTATTTACCAGTTGTTTTTTTTTGGTTGACTGAATCACTTTTTACGAAAGTATTTGCTGAGGTTAATTTTGAATGGAAGATAGTCTAATTTCCTTTTGCCTTAGCAAGTATGCACAGAACATACTAAGTTGTCTACCTATTTATGGTGTTAGAAATGTTATACCAGACACAAGCTAATATGCATACAAAGCATTTGCTGTGATAGGGCACAGGAAAGTGCACACCGAATGGACCAGTGCTTTGTGCTAGCATCTTTATTTCTTTTCAAAGTACACAAACAAGTGTGAAAGAATTTCATTTACTTCATACTGTTTGCGAAATATTCATTGTAGACTAGAACAGAACTTTATAGTTTTTTTATTTTACACCAAAAGAAATTCTTTTATTGCATTATAAAACACGAACAGCCTCGTTAAAAACCTTGTTTGCCTTAACAAGGAAAAACGTAACCCTTTTATAATTGAATATAGGAATATAAAATACATCAAATAGGACGTGCATTTTTTACCAAAAAATTATGAAACATGTAAGAGTTAGACTGTTAGAATATGTGTAATGGATTTAGGTTAATGAGTTGGGACATGCTCCTTCAATGGAAGATGTCGAGTACTCTTGTTTTTTATAGTAATCTTATGCATTCAACTAGACAGCTATGTAATTAACTGAGTTCACTCAAGTGTAACATTCCAAGTCAGTCCCTCGAGCAGTTGAATATAGTAGTCACATAGCTTCTTCAATGCGTTAACAGGTTATATTGATTTACAATGAGATAGCCGGAAAAATGCGGATGATGTAAAACTCTTGTGCAACTTCTCTTACTTGCAGTGTAAAGAATAGATAAGTACTGAACCACACACAGTCTGCTTATCGTTTGAATTTCTCGTCGAGCCTTATTTATCTTTCAACGAGCATGAGTAAAGCAACAGAAATGGAAATTAATTCGTTGATATTGTTTGGGACAAGATATTATCATATTACTGAACACGATAGCATTATATTGCTTTCAAAACTCAATGTGAGTATGTTGTCAGTGGAGGTGGTTGCATTGTTGGTTCTTATCTTCACCAAGTACCTTTTTTTAATGAGCCTAATTTCTACAGTTAAGGTTTTGATTGATAATTTTTTGCTGGGAAGATGATACAGAGTCAAGAGTTAGAGAGATGATACTATAATGCTGGTCGAGTTGTGTCATATTGGTTACTGAGTGGAAAGGAAATTCAAGAATTGGAATAAAGTGAAGAGAGAACTGCCAGTTGTAAAGTTTGGTGTACAAGATGCTTCTTAAATAACATATAACTCTTCGATTCATGTGGTTATCAAAAGTCTAAAATATAGCATAACAACTTTTAAAGGTTTGGGAGGAAAATAATTATGGACATGCTATTGAGGAAATATGGAATTTGTGGTGTAGTCAAAGTAAATCAATTAGGCACAAAACATAATAGAGATATCCCATTGAGGTCAACATGAGGTATTTGGTTAAAACGTAGAGCACCCATTGTACTGAGCAAGAAAGCCATCCCAGTGAAACCTAATATATAAAGAGTAGACAATTTTGTACTAATTTTAAGTCAACACGTCAAACTTTGGCATTGAATACTTTTTTTTTCACCAATCAGACATAAACAAATTAGAGAACTGGTACAACCCCGTGCCGATGATATTCAGATATGTAGTTTTTGGCTATTTTAAAACTCCATACTAGGGTGTGTTTGTTTGCCAGGATAATGCTCGAGGAAAGAGAAATAAGATGTTATGAAAGGGAGATTTAGTTCTAGTTGAATTTTTTTGGTTTATTGCTCTAAAATTCAAATATATTTTCTATTTACTCGTATGCAAATATTATGTCAAATTAGTGATCTAGTACATTTATGATTCCACCACCTCACCTCTATTGTTAGCTAGTTCTGGAAAGCAACCAAAAAATTTAACTGTTTTTACAATATTCATTCATCCTTCTATTGAAACAGACTTTTCGGAAATGTGCTTGACATGACCGATCTTCCATTTTGGGATATTCTCTAATTTTTCTAATTTTTATCATTTTATGTAATTATGTAATTTTCTAAACATACAATCAGTTATATAAAAAATATCAAGTCAGTGCTCAACATAGGGTCTCGCGGAATGTCAGAATCTGTATTTTGTGACCTTATTATTTCAACTGGATGACCAATTTAAGTTTTAAACACTTTGCGTATATTACTCTATTAAATATTATTTTGTTCGACCTTTACTGAATAATTAAATGACTGTGTCAAGAGTCCCTTTATCTTTGTTTATTATCTGAAATGTTCCTTCAAAGGGAAGTTTTGTTCATGAATTGGCTTAATCAGTTAACGATATACTGGTTAAAGTTTTGAAAAGGTGTAATAATTTGCTTTGTAAGATATATATTTTTTAATTTTCTTTTTGGATCTAGTAAGTAATTTAAGATTTGACATGTAAGCTGATAATACTATAGTCAAAATAAGCTGATTACCTATAATTTTGAAATGTGACGGGGAAACCAAGCATTTTCAATTTATTTCTACGAGGGTTGAGAAGGATGAACAGTAATTTTCCTTGTGATGCTTTTTCCTTGCCACTTAAAATTTGCTATTTTTTGATGAAGAGCCAGGACACATAATTAGAAGGGAACTATAGTCCGATGGGGCTATAATCTAAAGAGAACTAAAACTAAAATGATTAGTAATGATTCGTGAACTAGGAGTTGAAACATTAATAGTTCTAACAATAATGTTTATTGCAGCTGTAAATACTGGTAAGATCAATACACCATTTCCACATTGAATGAAATATTTGAAGGAAACACTCAAAGAAGTCATTCGAAGTCCTGTAATAATGATCTTTCAGCTTTGCACTGCCGGAGAACTGATCAATGTAAAGCAGTGCAGATGATTTATATGTAATGATTTATACTTGAGAAGATGAACCTGATTATATAAAATCATGAGCTTGTGATCGAACAGTTTATCGCACACGAATAACACACCACCATATCTCATGCTCATTACAACATAATTTGTTGTAGATCAACGATATCATTAGTGCTGGTAGGAATTCTAATTTAGAAGGTCAAAGCTGACTTTATTGATCCGTAGTGGATGAGTTCTACCATCCATTTAGGCTTGTCTTGATTTTAGATTATCTACAAAGGAATAGGATGAAATATGTGAGTTGTGAGTATAGGTGCTGTTGATCTTGTCTTTTAGTTGGCTTCTATATGTGTTGCCGGGGGGCACATTTTTTATGGGGGAAATTTCTCTAAAAAACCTTAGTTGCCCTCCATTTCAGCTTATTAGCTATATTGTTTGTTATACAGAAAATTTAGAACTCATGGACTGGTCATTTGAATCTTGCTACTGGATAGGACTCCAGACTCCCTTTTCAGCAATTCTTTTAGTAACTCACACGCAAGACCTGTGCTGGAGAAAGTTTACAAGTTTCACTAATATTGTTTGCTTGCCCTACGACGAACCTGTAGAAATTGTGCTAATGATTTGAGGAATCAATCGCTATTCGACTCTCACTCAGCGTTCTTGTTGTAGATTTTTTGATAAAGTTTCTCTCTGCCAATGTTGCTTGCCATTGTGAATCATCCTAGATAATTGCTGAGATTCAAGTTTGCACCAAGTTTTTGGTTTTCTTATTCAGCAGATTAAGACTATTGAACTTGTGGGCTGAGTTTGCTAAATATTTGCTATTTAAATGAAATATCATCTCATTTCGACTTTGCCGTGATCTGCATTTTTTCTTCAATATATCTGACCTGATTCTTTTCTACATTTTCGTTGTTTTCTCATCTTCTTTATTCTGTTATGTTATGTAGCTCCTTTGAGTGGCCGACTGGTGATTGCTGAACCCCTTAATAAGAAGACTAGCTCTGCAAAACCTGCTAAATCAAAGGAGCAAGCGCAGAAGGATAAGTATCTATTTAAACGGCGAGAAGAACCAATTAAGACGAAGAACAAGAAAAAAAGTTCAGGCCAAGTAGGTCCCTCTACTGATCCGCTTTTAATAGATGGTTCCGGATTATCCGGACTGCCATCAATTGACTCCCAAATAAAAGGTCAAACGCACCAGACTTCTCTATCGGTCAGTCATATCAAACCTTCTGAAGGTCCCAAGAAATTTGTTGGAGGTGGAATTAAAAAGGCCAAGGCACATATGCGGTCTACCGGTGGGGAATTGGGTGCTGATAATGCAACAATGGCTGCGAAGAAGAAGAAGAGAAAGAAAGAAATAAGCACTGATGAGCCTGAGAAGAAGAGAAAGAAAGAAGTAACAAGTGAAGCCAATGCCGAAACTGTGCAGTTACCGTTTGCTAACAGTGACAATAAAGCAGAAGTTGATAAAGTTTCACTACCTGTTGTTCCCCTTACTGCTGCTAATAACCAGCTCGATGATCAAGGAGTTGACTTTGGCCCATCAGAGCTTACGAAGCTAGTTAGAGACCTGAGAGCTCTTTCACTCAATCCCTTTCATGGAGCGGAGAGAAAGTGTGCAGCAAAAGCCCAACTGGTTTTCTTGAAATACCGTTCTCTTGTGTATCAGAAGAGCATGGTTTCATCCCCGCCACCTGAGAATGAGACAGGTGAAGCCCAATTGACTAAATTACCTGCCTCTGATTTGCGTGATGGTGTTGACCAAACCAATGAAAAGTCAACCGTACAGCTTATGAAACGGCTCGCTGATCCGACCAGAGGTGGTGAGAGACGTGGTCCGTCCGATCGTCCGGAAG